AAAAAAAAAAAAAAAATTTTTTTCTTATTAAAATGTTACGACTCAATAAAGATGTATTAATATTAATTCTTGAAGAATTAAAAGAAGATGGAAATTCACTTTATTCTTGTCTTTTGGTTAATAAAACTTTATGCGATATCGCCGTTCTAATTTTATGGAAGAATCCTTGGAAATACGTAAAAAAAGACCAACCATTATTTAATGTGATCGTTTCACATTTATCAGATAAATCAAAAATGGAATTATATAATAATGGAATTGATTTATTCACGAATTCATGTGAGAGACTTACGTATAATTATATTAGTTTTTGTAGAAATTTATGCTTAAACGGGTTAAGTCAAATAATTTATACTAGTCATATTGCTGAACCTTTTAAGCGTATGATTGTAAAAGATGAATTATTGAAATTATTTATTAATAATAACACAAAATTTACGAGTCTTTCATTACCGGATCAATTAGGAGATAAAATACATCGTATCACGGGCGCCGAACAATGTTTTTCAGAACTTGAATATCTTTATTGTAGTACTAATACAAGTCAGGAGATATTGGAAGGATTTTCTACGATAAGTAGGTCCATCAAAAAATTGGAATTCGATGTTTCACAGATACATTATAATGCTGGAATTATTAAATTAATTGAATCTCAGAGAAATTTAAATTATTTAAGTGGTAATCTAGGAAAAAAGGACGTTTCTTTTTGTAAGGTTTTGGAAGATACTTTAATTAAGCATGCAAATAATATTCAATATTTAAAAATTAGTTGGGAACCCGTTACAAAAATTCTTTCATATCTTGGGAATTTAAAAAGTTTAGAAATTAATTCACGTCACATCACAAATTGGGATCATTTAGTGAACGCTTCTACACCAAATTTAAAAATTTTAAGAACTCAAAATATTCCGTCTAAAATTTTGGCAAATTTTATTAAAAATACAAAAGGTCATCTTACGGAAATATCGATTCAATTTCCAATGTACGATAGAGAGGATAAATATCCTGGGGAGAATAATAATTCTTTAATTCGTTCTATTTATGAAAATTGTTTAAAACTTCAATATCTTAAATTATCAATTAATAATGATGATATTGCGGAATTTGAAAAATTATTTATTAATTGTCAACATTTAGATGGTTTGATTTTAAATAATTCTACAAGAGAAAATTTTAATTGGGTGGATTTATTTAATTCGTTAACGAGATCTGCGCCCGCTAGTTTATATAAATTCAAATTTATTTTTAATGGCGATATTCTTTTAAGTACTTTTAGTTCATTTTTCGATAATTGGAAGAGAAATCGAAAGGATAGTAAACCAATTTTATTAAAAATATTTTATAGAATGGATTTCACTCAAAATCATAAAGTATTATTTAATGAATATAAAAATGAGGGAATAATTAAAACGTTTAGTTATGATCCTGCAGAATTTGGATTTGATGAATTTGAGTGGACTTAAGATATGTTGTATGATATGTGTATTTTATTATTATGTATTTATTATATCCTTTTTATACTATTTTATATATATATATAAATATATATTATATATATGGGGGTGTATATATATATATTTTTTAATAACATTTTCAAAAATATGTATTTTTTTTTCTTATTTTTTTTTTTCAGCGCCTTAATTGTAGCTGATATTAAGCAAATATTAAGATATTAAGCGAATTTTTAAGTTAGAATCTATATTAATTAGATAATAAATTTCTTTTTTTTTCTTTATTCGTAAAAAAATATAGAGTTGTTTTAATAAAATTTTATTCTTTTTTAACAATAATTATGAATAAACATTTCTTGATAATTTTTTAACATAGAGATGAATTGTTTTTATCTTAATTTATTTTGCCTTAGATTATTAACAAATTATTTTATTAATTCCAGATTATTTTTAATTTCTTTAATACCGTATCATCGGTTTTTTATTTCTCAAATTAAAAATTTTTGAAATAAAAAGTAAAAAAATATAAAATTATGAATAATAAAAATATATAAATTATAGGAATAAAAAGGATATTAAATTTGAATTTATTATGATGTGAATTTTTTTATTTTTTAAAAAGATAATTTATAATTTGTAGCGTTCTTGATGCTACGATTGCTCGCTTTTTAGGTTAACCTACATCTATTTCTTTTGAGTATCACGTAGTAGAGGTGGTGCCTTGTTCATGTTAAAATAATTAATAGTAGATAACTATACTCCATAGACAATAATCATTCTAAGATTAATAAATATTCTTAGATAAAATACGCTGCGCCTCCCTATTAATATAATAAAAAATGTCATTAGCCCCACCGCACTATTATATATTTCTTGTTCCTCGCTAATTTTTTATTCTACCTATCGTACCTTTTTTTTTACTTTATCTTTCCGTCTTATTTTTTATTTTTTTTTATCTTATGCTTCTTTCTCTATTTTCATTTTATTTATAAATAAATGACGCGTCAAGTAAACTAAAGGCATTTATAAAATCAGGAATACTATTACTGTTTCGGGCATTCAAATTTGGATATTATAAAATGGCAAGCATTATGAAAAAAATGGAGAATATTTCCAAGCGGATCAAAGTACTTGGAAAAATATATAAAAAATATTTTTCTTATTTTTCTGCAATATTATAAAAAATTTGACAGCGTACCTTGAGGCATTGAAGACAGAATTAATTAATAAATTTATATATTATAAAATCAATGAATAACGATAATGACAAGATTTTTACTTTGAAAAGTAGCCGAATAATTTTGATAATGCCACACCAATCCATTATCGTTTATATTGTTTAATATAACAAGATTAAAATTTACCGGGGAGGAATTTAACAAAAAAGGCGGCCAGAATTATTGTTAATTTTGGCCAGAATTAAGCGTTACAATTTATTAATTGAACACTTAAAAAATTATGGCCTAATTAGGAAATTTCTAATTTTAACCTAAATTATATGTTGAAAATTCTAAAAATTAAAAAAAAGTGGGAGAGGGTTATGTTAAACAAGTATTAGATTTGATATACTTTACTTGATAAACGTATATTTTATTTCTGTAAATGTAGAACAAGTTACATGATAAATACAAAAAAATACATTGAAAATTAGCTGAAAATTAATTCTACTAAATTTCTCCATACCAAAATCTTCATATAATAAAACGACTAATGTAACTGATAAAATAAATTTAATGTATCCTAAGTATTTACTAAATTACTAATTACTTTACTACCCCATGATTTTCTATCGCGAATCCCTAATCTAAATACGTCATCCTTTTTATTTTCTTCTAAATTTATTTTTCTAATATTTTTTATCTTTTTTTCTTGTTTTTTTATTTTCTGATTTTTCTTCTCCTTCTGCCTTCTCCATCCATCATCTACCCTTTTCTTTTTTCTCTTGAGATCCTTTAAAATTCCTAATTGCCGTTCTGATTCGATCTTTCCACACACCTTCTATTCCATATCTGCATCTAAATCTTCTTCAAATAAACATCAAATATATCTTTAAGCACTTTGCATTGCCCTCTAATTTTACATGTACGCCACCATTTCTCGTTAATTAGACCTCGTGTAATTTCTCTAATAAGGTTCTCTGGACCCATAATCATTAATTATGTAGCAGCCACTTCCCATAAATCTTCTTTCCATTGGTTCTTTTGATCCTTGTCAATTAATATCTACATATTGGCTAAGCACTTCATCAAGACTGGCCTTGAATATTTCACTTTCTGTATCACCTGTGCCATTTTTGTTACAAATCCACACTTAAATATGTTGTTACGTTATGCATAATATTAAATATACAGTAAATTACATCAGAACATTTTTTGAAATAATTCAAGATTGGCAGTAATTTTATGAAATTGTTCCATATTTTGATAAAGAATTAATTGTTTTCTTTCTGTATTCGAAATATTATAATCTTTCAAATGTAATAATTAAAAAAAAAAGTGCTCATCGTACATTGTATCTTTTTTATTAACTTTTATAAAAAAACTAGTCCTGAAGGAAAATAGAAAGTAAAGTGAAAAAAATTATTTCGCTTTTTCAGATAATTGTCCGAAGCGTAGCGTAGGACTATACTGTTTGAACTCGATATCATGCAATGTCCGTCTGTCACGCCGCGTATATAACCAATGAAATTTTAGGATCAGTGTAACAGATAAACGCGTAAATAATTTATTAATTATAAAATAGTTTAAATAGTTTAATATATAGTATAATGGTACTATATATAATAAATTTTTTAAACTAATGTTTTTATGGTTTTTATGTAGAAAAAACTATTATAAATAAAAATTTGAAAATTAATATCTCTTTTGCTAATAAACCGTTGCTTTTAAAGTGTCAGTCTATAAATTGTACATTCAAAAAAAAATTAATAAATAATCCATAAAAAATAATTAAACAATTCGATAAATAGAAAAAGCAAATGAACAGATAACAAACCTGTCAACACTTCGTAAATGTAAATCCAGAGAAAATGAAACTGTTGAACATCATGAAATACGCCATTCAAAAAATCGAGAAAATAAACAAATGAAAAGGTCACCAGAAACACCAGATCAGCGTGACGCGTGGCTGAGCAGAGAACGTAAATGAAAGAGTAGTAAAAGAACGAGAGGTGTTTTAGAAAATAATAATGACCACATCAATAGACAGAATGAAAACCAGAATCGGGATGCCGTCAACCAGCAGCTTTCTGAAACTGATCGAGAACTTCTGTATAAGTTTCAAACAGAGATGAATAAACTTAAACATACTTTTTGCTTTAAATGTAATGAACGATTTCCATCCGTTGAACTTATAAAAGGAGAATATTGTCGACGCTGCCATAGTGATAACAGGAAGGTGAACAATACAGGGAACAATACATTGAAAAAGTTTTCTGCAGATAATAATATGGACCTGGGCGAAGTTCCAGAGGAATTAAAAGGATTAACAGAAATAGAAGAAATGTTAATTGCCCAGATATTTCCCATTGCTTTGGTATATTGCCTTCACAAGATGTATTAGAGTTTGCAACGCACCTCCCTCGAAATCCATCATTGCTTGATATTCTTGTCATACGGCGTCAGTCTTCAAATGGTTTGGCATTCAAAAATTTTCAACTATACATTTTTTAACTTCAGTGATACATTTAACTATACATTTTTTAGTGAAGCATTTTTTTAGTGATACATTTTTTAGTGATATTTTTTTAGATGGTCATGTGAAGAATATAATGCTTCGGACACTCCAACAGTTCCTGTTACCTAGTAAATATTTATTTTTTTTTTTTGTAAAATTGATGAAAATGAGAAATGAAATATGAATAGTATGAACCCTAATTACCTTATGGACTGTTTCCTGACAGTCGACCGGCCGTCTGATCACGTGACTCTATCTGGAAAATGTCGAAACATTTTCAAGTTTCTCTACTAGCTGGATTTCCTCTTGTTGGCCTTCCATACCTTCAATACCTTAAAATAGTACCAAGTAGTATTAGAGTTTAATAATCGAAAAATCTGGTGGGAAATTTTAGAAGTTATCTATTGAATCTCAAGATTGGTCGTTTTACAGCACACATGTTTATTATTTAATAATTTTACAAGTACCCTAAATATACATAATATTTTTGAAATCACTCAGATTTTTTAATAAATATATTACCTACTAATTTAAAAAGCTAATTTAACATTTGTCCTCGTGTCCTCATTATTGTTTGAAAAAAGCTTCCATAATTTTGTTGTCTATATAATTGTTTAATATCAAATTATAATTCATGTAGTATTTTAATATAAATTATTTTTAAATATAATATCATACAAAACATACTTATCAGTACAGCCTTTTCCATTTCAGTTGACAAGCTTCTACTGAAACAATGTTAACTATACTTTAACTATTTAAATAGTTTATATACATTTAGAAGCTTTTTTTACTTTATTCATGACTATTATACTATAGGAACCAGAACAAAAAAGTTGCCTAAAATATTACCGATGCATTTCTAAATGAAGTATGAATATAAATTATATCCTACAGCCAAATAGGATCATGCTTTTTTCATCATGCTGATATTTTATTAAGCTATAAATGAACTACGGTAAAAGGACGTGTTGGTCGTGTCGCATTAATATTTATAAGAATGATCATCGGCGGCTGAAGGGTAATATTTTTATGAATTTTTTGTTCCTGTGAAAGAAATTTTATTCGAATATTTCTGTCTATCTTCATATAATTAATTTTCATGATTCGAGATAATGAACAAAAAATACAAAAAATAAATCTGTGAATTAATTTTTCTTGATGATAGGATGGATCATTATTCAGATACATTCTACAGTAAAAGCATCTTCCAACAAAGATTTGGTCTCTTGTGACAATGTTGATATTCAGTATGGTCACTTGGTTAATTTGCCATGGTCAAATTCTAGCATAGGTTATTAAATTTGGCTCAAAATCCATAACAAAATTTAGTCTTTTTCAGAACATGGATCGTTCGGAAATACTTACAAAATTTTTTGATGTAAACTTAAAACTTACGTAAATTTGTGTAAATTTACGTGAGATAACAAAGCTACGAATTCTTGCATCTAAAGATAATTTTCGGATGTACTTGATGTTATGATGAATGAAGTCATTAATTTTAAATAAGTTCATATGATAATATAATTATTTAATAATTTTGATCTTTATATATCAGAACAAAATTTAATAATTTATTAAATATCGTAACAATTATTTCGTTATTCTATAACTACAGTATATATAAATAAAGTAAAAAATTAAAAAATATAATTAATGAAAATAAAAAGCCTAAATAACAAATTTCAACGATAATAAATAATGAAATATATTTATAATATTTACTATTGTTAAATAAACTAGGATTCACTTGTTAACTACATAACAGTTAGTATTTAAAACTTAAAAACATATATAAAGTAAAATTATAATTATATATATATATAATATCTGCTCTTGTTTTTGTGCTCCTTCATTCTCTTTTTTCATTCTTCGGCTCTTCGGTTCTAAGGTGCATCTTTTTTTCATCTTTTTTTCTCTTGCCTCTTTTTTTCCGTTCTTTCTGACTATTCTTTCCTCTCAGACATGACACACTTCAATAACAGATGGTTCAAATTCAAGTACATAAGGGTAACGGGGAGCTATAATGTAAAAAATTTCCAACTCATTTAACACATCTCAAAAAAAGTAAGAAAAGCAAAAATTATATAATTTACCAAGGGGTTTAATTTTTGTTTTTATGTTTGTTCAATAGGTTCCAGCTCTTCAGCCTTGATATTTTGGTTCCAAGGTTCCAAGGTTCCAAGGTTCTAAGGTTCTAAGGTTCTAAGGTTCTAAGGTACTTTTTTTCATTTTTTTTTCTCTTTTTGTCTTTTTTTTCGTTCGTTCTATTGTTATAACTTCTCTTTCCTCTTAGATCCCAGCTCTTCGGCATTTTGGCTCTTCGGTTCTAAAGTACGTTTTTCATTTTTTTCTCTTTGTCTTTTTTTTCGTTTGTTCTATCATTCTATCTCTTCTTTCCTCTTAGGTCCCGGCTCTTTGGCAACTTCAGCACTTTAACATTTTGGTTCCGTTCTTTTTTTAGTTTCTTCTCTCTTTTTGTTCTTTAACTTTGTGCTAACTTCACTTCATCTTAGATACTGGTTCTTCGGCAATTTCAGCGCTTTGGCATTTCGGTTCCATATAGGTGACCCTTTATATTATAATAAAATCTATCGCAACTTTGATGCTTTTTTTTAAAATAGGCGGTTAATTAATGAATTTCTATATTACCATGAATTAATTAATGAATCTTATATTACCATGAGAACTAACCGAACGGTTAATAAAAATGAATTCAACTATTTCGATAAAAAAAATACGTACATACAAAAAAAGATCAGCGGCACGTCTTCTTCACATAATTCACCTTGATGTACTCGCTGCAATAATTCCTCATGCATTTGTTGTGCATTCATTTTTTGGCGCGGATTTGCCGTTCCTGTATGAAACATTATTTCTAATAATCGTTTGACTTCTGCGGTCATTCTTTTTGCTGGCTCACGCGACTTAGTTTTCTCATTTTCTTTTAAAGCCCAACCCGAGAAAAAAAACCTATGACTATAAAATCAAATTTCAATAAAAATTTCCATAATTATCAATACACAACAACATGATAATACCTTTGTGAGCTATATTGAACAGGTTCATGATTAACGCCTCCTTGGTTATTCATATCAACTATCGTTGTATCCTGACAATATTATTGATATTAGGACAGAATAGGCAATTATATCACTATTATATGGGATATTTATACATACTAAAGAATGGTGCAAATTAGTAGATAAGGTTAGTATTTTACAACCAAAAATAATATCATTTTACCGGGTTTATCTACAATTGGCATAGTCCATAGTTTACTTGGTTCTGTATGTTGAGTATAACTTGGATCTGGCCTTTGAAATTTTCGTTTTTTCATAACTTTCTCTATTTTATCAGGTGAATATTCCTTCCAGTTACCAATCACTGGTAGAGCACGAGCATATAAATATATCCATTTTTTTCGTCCTCTTGGGGCCAAGTCCACTCTTGAAAATTTGAAATTCCCGTTATGGTGCCTAATTTTTCTTTATCTGATTTTAAAATTATACATTATAAACACTATTTACTAAACAATAAATGTATCAAATATAGGTAATAAACCCCATACCTGTATTTCGATCTGGATTCAAATTTGCCACATGTGTGCCTGCAATATCCCGAATAGCATTCTCAATATCTTCTCCATTCTCCACCTCAAATCCCAGTTTAATATACCGTTTTATTGCTTGTGCAATCTGTACGTTTATTTATTTAGTAACAAATTTTATTTGTAAAAACTAATAATGCATGTATTAATCACTCACTTGGGCGTGATGGGAATCAATTGCCGTTTTGGCCTCCACTGCCTCCAAAAAGAGCCATCGTCGTGGAATAACATCATACCATTCTTTCAAGTGACCTATAATAAGCATCAATTCTGTACAATGATAATGCATTCCATTATCAGACAAAATTGATATCCATTTAGGTTTTGGTTCAAGATTTTCAAGATGTATAGAGGAGGCAGTGAACCACGCATCCTGATGCGTATCATCTGACCAATGATCAAACACCTGGATATTTAGACAATTCTTTTCTATATCCTTCGTGTATACTTAGGCTCCAACCCCGTTTACCGAAAAAATCCTTTTTTGTTTCTCTTGAACTTGTAGGTAAAATTTTCATTTTATAATCTACTATTAATACTGCACCATCAGCATCAAGTTCTTCGAGATTGGTTCTTACATAAATATTAAGGTAAGTTTTACACGCATGATGACCCATCCATGAAATAAGTTTTTCTTGATAATTAACAAGTGTATCATTAAATTCAGGACCTAATTGTTCTTTTAATTGTTCAAAAAAACTAAACAAATTTTCGCAATTACTACAAGTATTGGGATGATCAATATTACAGTCTCCAAATGCATGTCGAATACAATGACTGATGCATGTATCATGTAGAGCCATGCCATCTGTTGTAATAGTAAGTGATTTGCAATATTGATGATGGATGTAATGCCGTAAATTTTGTGATTTTTCCAGTAAATGCTTCTGTAATAAAGATTAATTATTAGGATTTTTTTGAAAATCAATTTTTATTATTTATTTTACATCNCCGTAAATTTTGTGATTTTTCCAGTAAATGCTTCTGTAATAAAGATTAATTATTAGGATTTTTTTGAAAATCAATTTTTATTATTTATTTTACATCAATTTTACTTACTCGCGTTGATTCATCAGTTATGTGTGCTGCAATTAGTGTATTAATGTCACTAAACACTAGGTATCCATTTTCATTACATGTTGAACATAATCCACCAAGATTTTCTTGATATACAAAATGACCACCTTTTAGTTTTGTCATGAAAGAAGTTCTTCGCATGCCATTAGGATATTGTTCTGAAAATCGTTCCCATAGAGCCCTTTTTGTGATCTTGCAAATATAAAACTGGTTGCCCAGTAGAGGTATTTGTCTTATATGAACTCATATTTACAATTTTTTTATTCGTAAAAAATTGTTCAAACTGATCTAATATTTCTGATGTAAATCTTTTTTGGTGAATAATAGGCTTTATTAATACCGGAGCTCCATATCCATTAATACGTCCATGCTTGCGTGCTTCTGAAATTGTATGTCTTCCAACCTACATTGTGAAAATGAATTAGGTTTGAAATTTTTTTACATCATTTATAATAGTCAAAATTAGTACTTACGCCTAAATTGTTTTGTAATTCATCATAAGTGAAATCTTCTGCAATTATAGACAATATTTGATGATTTCCATCATATGTTCTCTTATTATTTGATAGAGCTCGCTCAAAACAAGTCCAAAAAGTACGAGTCGCATTAGGCATATGAATTGGAATGGAGGTAAGTAATCCTATTTTGAATAAATCTGCTAAGGTTTCTCATTCGGTAGTTGGATCAGGTGATTTAGTCCACATTTCAATCTGATATATTTATGTTGAATTAGTTATTTATATAGAAATACGAAAAACATGACACGAGTTCACCTCCGATCCATCATGTGACCATTAGAGGTTGGAACCGGTCCAAAAAGTCTTAACCGGTTAATTAACCGGTTAAAACTCCATCCTAGTCAGAATTAAAATTCGGCCAGGATTAGCATCAAATATATTTTTAATCCCGGCCAAAATTAGGCCAGACCAAAACTCTAACTATCGAAACGAAACTCTAGCTGAAAGACGAAATTCAGGCCAAAATTGTCTGGCCGGCACTATGAATTTCCGCCCGCATTATGAATTTTATATAACACAAAAAATTCCTTACCTGGTGGCTAAACTTTTATCTGAAGTCCCGTGATTTATAATTCTGGCCGGCACTGTAAATTTGGCCAGAATTACGCATTTTAACCGGTTAACAAATGTTTTAACCGGTTAACCGTTTTAACCGGTTAATTAACTGGTTAAGCTTAACCGGTTCCAACCTCTAGTGACCACAGAGTTATATTAGTACATCCAGATGCATGCAGCATTGATTTCCATGCTCTGAATTCACGCTCATCAAACTTGTAATTGTGTGGTATAGTGGCTTTAAATTAGATTTCAAATCAATTATTGTAACATTAGATTCCGCCCAACTAATAAAAAATTGGTGCCGGTTGATATTTGCCAATGTTCTTCTTTTCAAGTGATAATAATCAAAAAGGATTTGCATAATAGATTGATCTTGCCAATCTTGAAGCTTGCAAGTAGGAACTCAGTGCTTTTTTATGAGTTGTTGAATTATTGAATTATCTAACCCAAAAAGTTGAGTTCTATTGTAATTTTGAATTAGCCCAGTTTTTCGCCAAACATCATCTGGACTGGCGCCTATAACCCTTTTTTTTAATTGAGAATCCTGGTAAATTTCCACAATACAGCAGTGTTTGTCAAATGACTTGAAATGAACAAATGACTCAAATGACAAGTCATTTGTCATTTGTCATTTGCAACTCAAATGACCTGTCATTTAAGTCATTTGAAAAATATTAAATATTCTGAGAATTCTTATTAATTATTTTATTTATTTTAATTAAGAAAACAAAAATATTAAAACAAAATTGGTTTAATATATATAATCAAAAAAGTTTCAATAGTAGTAAAGATTTTTTGATCACGTGATTTGTCATTATTTTTACAGGTTATTATTTGTTAATAATATTATTATAGACAGGATTATTTCACTTATAATTATTTCACTAATGATCATTTTATCCATACAGATAAAAGTTAATTAATTATGCAATAAAATATTTAATTGTAACACATGTAGTGGATCCCATATATATAATTGTTGTCTTTATTTAATCATAAGATGGCCATAACATTTATTTATGCATATAATTATATAATAAAATTATATATAATAAATAACATATCAAATATTATTATCACTTTAATAATTATGGTTGTATTATTTATTATTTTCAGATTACAGTAAAAAATAAATAATTTTGTGAAATTGATTCTGTTTGTGATTATTTCGATTACGTCCTTCCTTTTTTATACATCACGTGATTATAAATTGTCCAATAATCTTTAAATATTTTAATGACAAATGACCAAATGACAAAGGACGCAAATGACATTCAAATGATACCCAATCATTTGGCATTTGTCATTTCACGAATAATTCAAATGCCAAATGCCAAATGATGGGGTGTCATTTGACCAAATGACTCCTAATCCGAAAAATGGTCAAATGACCAGGTCATTTCCAAACACTGCAATACAGTCTTCATTTTCAATTTTGGATACCAAAATTCCTTGTTTCTTATCAAATACGTGAATAATAGAAGCTTCGTAACCTGATATCCAACCCTTATTTAAAGAATAACCAATAGCATATAAAAAAATTTTATATTTTCCAACCGTACATATTACAGGAAAAAATTCAATATCATTTTTGAGTATTTCTAAAATATTTTCGTTATTCCAGCCCATAATTGCATGACCTGAATATCGCGTAAAACTTTTGAATATATCCTTATATACTATTACTACTGCTTTTGTTGGACTAGTTTCAAACACTTCTATCTCACCACTTTTGCAATGATATTCTGGAAGATTTCCTGCCCCCTTTTTAACTGTTAAAAAGAAGTCATTTCCATTTAAAAACACTTTAACTTGCTGATTTAAATGAATCGGAAAGTTTGCAACATTGTTTTCAGTTGAAAAGTCCCACCAAAATCGAGAATATGGCCCATAATGAAGTTCATTTACAAGTAAACCACTATTTTCAAGAAATACAGGCAATAAACGAGGTTTTTTAATCATATTATAAATGGTTAGGTAATAAATAGTTTGAGATGTAAAAATGGACTTTATTTTATTATAATTCTTATCCCCGAATTTATTATTTATTTTCACGTGTTTAGTGCCGATCTCTGGTGGATCACGTCTTAAATTAATTACTAATTATTTATTACAAATCACATGAAATATTCATTCATTTTTTTACTAACTAAAAACAACTCATCTCGGAATAAAATGATTTTAATCAATTGGATAGTATGATAGTTTGATTACTGACTAATAGTAACTTTTTCTGATTTTAATCAGTTTTTAGCCAGATTTTGGCAAATTTTTGTAAAAAATCTAACTAGTAGCGCGAAAAGTTTATCAATTTTAATAAATAAATGAATTTACTATTATTTAAGATCCCTACAATTTCTCAATGATACTAAAATTAATATTAGACAAGTATAATAAAATAAATTTAATAATATTAGTATCTATTATAGCAAGTGCAAAAGATACACAAATTTTTTTATATAGTAAATAAAATAATCATGAAAAAAACCCTAACCACATATATCTTGAATAATCTTTTTTTTTTTTACAATGACAAACGCATATTTATTAATTAAAATATCATGTAAGTGCGATTTAGATACAAATACAAGCAATAAAATAATCTCAATATACCCATTGAAATTGAGCAGTAAACTACTCAATCTCTCCATGCCAAGGCTATGCCAAAACGGGATCTTCCATCATCACCGATCAACACCTTTAACCACAACACCACCCTATGTCTTGAATATATAATCTATCTGGTGGCGACGAAGTCACCATACATAAACCTAATCTAATCTAGTTAATAAATAAAATTCGGGCATTCATTTAATTTATAATAATATATGGCATTTAATTAATTTAATATGTAATATTTAATTAATTAAATTCGTGGCATTTATTTAATCACATTACTGCAAAAAAAAGTTTATTGGATCCTTGTTTATTAGGAAAAATGGTATTTTTAAAACGTAATATGCAAACTATGGATTATATTAATGTATTTCCACCAGATTTGGATGCAGAAAATAATGATTTTGTTAAGAATGTGTATGAATGTGATGAAGTGATAAGTGAATAATATTTTAATTTTATTTTTATAAATAAAGTGATGATTTTTTTGTTAAATAATTCTTCTGTTCAAATAGCATAATATTTACTATATTATATAAATAATTTTAATAATGAATGCGAATTTAATATTTTATATTCAAATTATGCGACAAATCTTGTGATATAAATTAAAATTTTTCCTTGTAGTTAATGAATAATTAAAAATAATAAAAAAATATATTATTATATCTTTAAAGTAAAATCTAGCCTTTATATAATATGAATTTACCAAATTGAATCATAGTATTTAACTTATTCAAAAATATATGAAATGTTATGAAAATTAATAAGCGATTTAAATTTTTTTAAAAAAAATTTTTTTTTTATCTAGATTCCGGGTCAATCTTACCATTTTTTATCTGGATATTTATCCGGGTAAAAACCGTAATTATCCGGATACCTAAAAAAAATTTATCCGGGTTTATCCGGTTGAATCTGAAAACAGATCGAAACACTAATGCATAGGCTGACAGCTTAATGCTGGCCATTTAAAACGTGTTTATGCATAGCTCTGCATAACTCTGGCCAAACAAATGTCCCGCTTTCAATTTTGTTTCATGGACAATTCTATGAAAATGATAGTGAGTTCTTCTTCACAAGCCTCTCCCCCTGATCCTCCAAACAAAGCAATCATAAATCCTCTTGATACACTTATTTCAATAGCTGATTGTACTTAACAAAATATTTAAATAATATTAAAATAAAAGTCAACAAATATTAAATTAAGAAACTACACCAATGATATCTGCTGGATTATATAATGCATCAGTTATTTTTTTTTTCTTGATAAACCAAAAGTTTTCTAACTTTATTCTATTTTGATGTACAAGTACAAATGTACATGCTAAAATGAATGCATATATTAATTTATTGCTTGATGTAATCAAATTAAAAAATTGAAATGTACAGTAAATTATAGGTTTGGTTTTTTTTATTACACCTACAAAATATCACATCCCATATAAAAGTCAAAAACATTATTATAAACTCCTTTATGTATTGTTACGCAGTAAAATGTTGCGCAGCAATCATGTGATATAACTGGACCCGGGATGCCGATCAATGTAGCAAATGTCGAATATGTTTGACATGTTCGATTTGTTGCATATGTCCGATATGTAGAATATATAGAATATATGGAACATGTAGCATATATGAGATATATAGAACATGTAGCATATATGGGATATATAGAACATGTAGTATATATGGAATATATAGAACATATAGCATATATAGGATATATAGCATATGTAGCATATGTTAAACATTTTTAGTTTGGAAATTTATGTATATATAGACCTGTAATTAGACCTAAATTCAATATAGAACGTGTGTGAAGAATTTAATTAATAAAATGTTTACCCTTTAGTATACACCTTAATTTTAAGTTTGGTTTTATATGGTTAATCTGCCTTCCCTTATTTGTGTCTGATTGTATGCGCCAGTGTGAAGCGATACTCTATTCACATCTGATTGGATTGATTTTAACATATACGTTGATCCTTAAAATTACCTTCTGCTTTATTAAATATAAACATTTTTTAATGTATAGCTCATTTTTAAGCTCATAAGAACTGACCTCTAACAGTATCTATTGTAACACTTTTCGTAGTTTACCTTTTATTTAGTATATCAAAGTTTACGCCAAAAATGTAAAAAATCAAATAAAAATTGAGAATTAGAAAATTTAAGTAGCTTTTAATATTGAATAGTTTTAACACTAACAGTCAAAATTTTAGCTTATTATTGATTGAAAGTGATTTTTATAAAGGAAAAAAAAAAAGAAACTATATAAACTGAAGGTATCTTTATAAGTAAATAGATAAATAATACTGAAGAAAATATTTTTTTACCATGATCATACATTATAATATTGTGTAATGCTGGCTAGGATATTAATAATATGACAGGGGGTATACAGTGACATGGAAAAGGTCTTCTGAAGGCTCCTCATTAAAATAATCGGAAATTGGAGCCCGTGGTTGCATACGCATTTTAATATCGATGGCAGGATGGATTTTTCGAACTTCTAAAGGAATGTTATTAAACGGTGTTCCCAGGTTGTTCTGAATTATAGACTCGAGTTCGCTAACTGCCTTAGTCTTGTCAATTGTAATTTTTTGTACAACTTTATCGTGTGGGAGATTATAAAATTGGCCTATAGGAATGATAAGACAATTGAGAGAAACAGTATTGCCCATCTTGCTTTCTGAAACATGAGGGACGCCATAGTGAGAAATTACTTTGCACGTAAGTATAATGTACAGTATATACGTACCTTAATTTTTCGTGGGAAAGTTGGCTGAACTTCAACAGGTGTTTATCATGTACTGGAAGAATGTATGAATTCTTTTGCGCAAAAATCTGATAATTTATAATGTTTTGCAACAAATGGATTAGATATTACCAATGATACATCGATTAAAGAGGCTATTAATTGTATTTTCGCTTTACATTTTTCCTAGTAAAAATAAAGTAGAAAATACAGGATGATTAACGTTATCATATGATAGCAAGAAATCTCCGAAAGTGGTATCAATGGTAACAAGCACATGCAAATGGAATTTTGATTCCTTTTAGTTTAGCCAAGACATCAAAGTTGGCTTTATGCCTGTCGATCACGGAGTTGCATCCTCAGCCCTCCATAAAATATGCTTTGACGTTAATATTTAATTTGTTATAAGGTAGGTCCTGTGTTACAACGAAGTATTTTAGGACCCCAAAATATATATGTAGAGGTCAGGTCCAGAAGTGGTCCAAAATACGCATTCTTTCAGGGCCGGAATTACGATAATTTCAGCCATTATCTAAATTAGAAAATATTATTTTGGCTGGGATTATCCATAAAAGGAATGATCTACATGATTTTTTTGACTCATTATACGCAAACTCTGACCTGACCCTTTTATGTATATTTCGGGGTCCTAGAATTTTTCACATTCTTCTCGTATTTGTTTGGGAAAAAGATAGATGTTATGTAATTTTCTTACATTTGTTACTATTTCTGCATACTTAAAGTCCCACAATTTTTGATGAAAATATATATATATATAAGAACTAAATGATCGGATAGTTGATGGTCTAAACTCTAGTGTATCATTATATTGTCTTAGAGAAGTAAGGTAGAAAATAAAAAAAGGCTCTGTCATAATTAATTTATTTATTTTGAATTAAACAAAATTTACAATTAACTCTGCAATCATATTTTTAATTGATAATAATTTATTTAAATGGGCATTTATGGTATGATAAATAAGAGAGTATTAATGATTAAATACATTTCCTATGAATATCAAACAAAATTTGGACTATTTTATTATAGAAGCACCCTTATAAAATTGATCACATACCCAAGTTTCACTTCTTTGATAATCAACTTCTGCTTCAAAGAGTATTTGGATTCCAAATAGCATGATTTTAGAAGAAAGACTTAATAAAAGCAATTAAATAATTTCTTTTTTATATGAAATTAATATAATTTTGTATACAATGTATTAAGAAAGCCTAAAAAATTTTGTATAATTTGGTATCTACCGAAATTTTGCATAAAATATGTAGCCCACATTACCCACATTAATAAAGTTGTTTAATAAAAGTGTCTTTTAGGTTGAAATAACTCAGAGTAATGACAGGATATATAAATATATAACGAAAATATAATTCTAAATTTAAAAAAGAAAAACAAACCTGTAATATAATAAAACAAGTTTCAAACAGTACCAAGGAACTTAAAGGTATATTGGGAACCCGGGACCTAAAATAAAAGAAATATGAACGTTCAGGTGGTTTAATATTCAAACTATTAAATAAAATTATTTATGAATAATAATTTCATTATACCTTACATGATATAAACATGTAATTTAAACTAACCATAATTTATTTTAATATTTTTAGCTCTTGAATTATTGTTTCATAAATCACTTCTGCACTTACGCAAGTCATTTAACTTACTTTTACTCACTTCTGGTCGCTATTTACAGTAATAATAACCTAGTAAATCCTAAATTTCAATATATATATATATATATGGTCATGTAAGGAACAATGCTTTCTTGAGGTATTATTGCTGATAAAAGTAATTAAATAATGACACGAACTTCGTGAGATATTGTATGTTTAATTTTTTCAAACGATTGTTTCTAAATCAATAATATAAATGAAAGAGAAAATCGCTTATTAACCAAATAATGCCTTTTTTTCATCTACAAATCCAAGTACTTTTTAAAAATATTCTAAATAAAGATTTTTATAAAAAGTAAATTTATTGTAATATTTCGTAATCTAGTAATACAGTAAATGATGATCATTGATCTTCGCATTTAACAGATAATGTAATAATTTTGTCACGCAACAAAATAAAATATTATATACAAACTAGCAAACGTTAACTTCAGTTTACGTATATGTGAAACAATATATTTTTGTATCTTCGGTAAGACTTTTTTCGGTTTAGGCAGATTTTCTTAAATTAGATTTTTTGATGAAACGTTTCATCCAAATTTAGAATTGATCCAATTTGCTGTAAAACTTGTTTCATAATATCTTTTTGTATTATCCATATATAGTAAACAATATGTTTTTTGTTTACGCAGTAATTTAATGATCTACCTGTTTTTTTTTGACTAGGAACTTAACACGCTATATGATTGAAACTATAAAATTATCAAGTATATAATTTTAATAGCCGTTAACATGAATAATTGTTGAATATGAAAACAATAATAACAATAAGGAGTCAATTCGAGACATTATTAAATTTTTTTTTTTAAAAATAACTTAGAAAATAAGGAAACCTAATATGGAATCCAAAGAATTTAGGTTTCGAATTATAGTATAGACTAATATTCTTAAGATGGAAAAAAAATGAAAGAGTTTTATAAAATTGGTATTATAAAAGTGCGTGAAAATCTTTTTTTTTTAAAAAAAAAATTTTCTCATTTCTGTATATTTTTCTTTTTGTATAATTTTTTTTTTCGTTCATTCTTTTTTTCTTTTTTTTGTGAATTTTTGTAATCGTCAAACATTATGGACTATACGATCGAATTAAATTGTTTTATGATACTTACATCATTAATGATTATGGTGAGTTTTTTAACCATTTTATACTTCAGTTCCTTTTAATTTTATTACTAATATTTATTAATCTAATCAATTAAAGGCTTCCATACATAATTTGATTAAATCGATCTTACTTTATCGCTCGAATAATTTAAAAATATCAAGTATATTAAAGATTATTCTCAATTCAAGTGGTCTCGCATGCGGTCTATCCAATATTGGATTATTTCTTACGATAAATACCACTTCTTTATCGGAATGTTTGACGATTACTTATTTACAAGCTATATTAAATTTCATATTTTCAGAATCTGTCATCATTTTCTTAGTCTGGAAACTAAGACAATTCAGAAAATCAAAATTAGATGATTACATCGTATATGGTTTACTTTTAATTAGAAGTTTGTTCAATGTAAGTTATGAAAATTTCAACGTTGATTATAAATAAATTAAAATTAACTGCTTTTGCAATTTATTTTTTTTTTCTAGATCATCTTCATTGCATTCGTACGACCACAAGTAGTGATTTCACCTGATGTTAGTTTATGTGATAATGACGCACATTATGGAAGATGTTTCTTGTTGATTACGACTATAGCTGATCTTTTGATTGACCTTTATGTTGCTTTTCGTATTATTCAATACATATTGGGTTATTCAATTACAAATCAAAGTGAAAAACAACAACAACGACCTCAACGTCCTCATTCATTCTACAAATTAATTGTATTGAATTCGTTACCTATTTTAATGGCTTTATTATATCATATAAATACATTAATTTTCAAGTTGTCGATCGTTGGTTACATGATTAAAATAGTAATTTTCATTATCTTATCCTATGTAATAACTTTTATCATAGATTTACCATCTGAAAAAGTTCATATAAATGAATCTAATCTAGAAAATGGAAATTATGAAAAAAGTTTTATTCCAAAATTATCATTAAATAATCTTAAAGAACCTTCAATTCCTAATGAAGATATTGTATTAAGAGCTTCTAATGGAATGTTGGTAGATATGCCTTTAAAAAATGTTCGTGATGAAATTAAGATGGAACAACAATATAAAATTGAAAAGTTGGATCCTAATAGTGATGTTGGATTATTAAAACATTCTTTATCATTTTATGAAGTAATATCTGTACTTTTTGGAAATGATAAGGATGATAAAAGACAATCTTCTTAAATTAATTTATTATATAGTATAGTTCTATTATTTCAGTAAAACATTTTTTTCAAATAAAAAAATTATTAAACTGCGGCGCAGTATAATAATAACATTATAATAATATTAATTTCGCAGGTCTGAACGTAAACTCCAACGGTCCAACAATCCATTCAAATAATATTTCTGTATCTTGGAAATATTCAAGATCAGTAACTTATAATAATTTTATACACGTTTATAAAATACACGTCTAGAAAAAATATACGTGAAAAGAAATGAAGTAAATTATGTTTCAGAGCAAAACGTTTCACCCATGGTTTCAACTATTCCGAAACTTCCGAAATTTCAGATTCCGATAAAATTTCCGATACCTAGAGAAATTTCCGTACTAAATTGTCATGTGCAGTTGTGCATGTTTTTAATTGGCGGCAGAATTTATTCTCGCAATGATCTTTTCATAATTATATTCAACGCGTCCAATTATAAGTAAACATATCCTTGGTTAATCAATTACCTATACGGCCGAATATTGTTACCAACCGATATATCATATAAATTTTATTTTATTTAGTTTTCTCTGCAATTCTTTTGATCTTTTTTTCTAAGTTTAGTTCATTGAATTCGTAATAAGTAATTTATATTTTCACTATCAATGCCAAAAAGAAGAATTTATAATTTATTCCTCAAAATTTTTCTTTAAAATTCCATTATATAATTCCTCTTAAAAATGTATTATTCATGTATTAAATTCGCCTCTTTCAATAATATTTCACTCGTTTTATATTGACCACCATTAATATAACTAAAAGGGAATCAATATAATGGTACAGTTAATTATTTAATCTTATTATTCACAAAACCTTTATATTGCATATTTATTATGAATTTTCCGTTAATTTAATAAATTATTATTAGAAAAATTCATACATGAGATGAAATAACTTTTAAATTTCAATGTTATATGAAAATTTCATTACAATTAATTTTAGTTATAACGTCTCATTCTTTATTACTAATATTGTCACTAATGATAATTATAAACTATACCGTTTTATCTTTAAATTATTAATGATTGGTCGATTTAATTTTAAGAGTCCTTGTGGTAGAGTTGATAAGTATAAAAATAAGGAAGGTAACAAATAGACAAAAAACTTTAAAGTTCTTGATGTTAAAAAAAAATGATAGACAATTTTTAGGATTCAACCTTAATTGACGAAAAGGTGAAATAACAAAATGTGAACTAAAAGGCAAAATTAAGACAAATTTAGGTGAAATTCAAAAAAAAAAAAAAAAAAATTCATTAATATTTTAAATTCAAATATAATATTTTATTTTTCTTTTATTACTTAGCTCAAGAAAACTATAGAATGTAGGTCATGAAATCGTAAATAAAAATATAAATAATATATATATAGATATCATATAATTATGGTATGTAATAATTATTTATTGTAAAACATTAATAAAGTTCATGAGGTTTATTATTTGTATTTTCGGTTCGTCACAATGAGTAATATGATTATCACGTTGAGTTACATTACATTTCTTGTGAAAAAAATATTGTAAAATTTTTCGGTAAATAATTTTATAAAATTTCGGTTATTTTCACAATTCCAAATGAACCAATAAAAATTTCCATTTAAAACTTATAATCCTGTACAACGAAGAATGATGCGAGATATTGATCCAACTGAATGTCTATCAAATCATGGACAAGTAGTCGAGTTGTATTATCAGGAGATGTTGCTGATAAGCTTTCTCAAGCATTACTTAAGTATATAGAATAATAATATTTCCTTTATTAAAGATTATGAAAAAGAAATGTTGAAACAAACATCTGCTGATGTATTAAAATGTAGTAGAAATGTCACGTTTAAGAATTCCACGCCACTTGGGCCTTTTGGCGTTGTTGTTAGATACAGCATTTTTAAAGGTTATAAACGTTAACTTTTATAGTTTTTACGGATAACTTAATTTTAAGAATTAAAAACTATTAATATTATTGATTTTATCATATGTCATATACATATATAAGTATAGTACTGTACATTGAATGCATGTTTATTGAAAAATGGATTAAGGTAGAGGTTGGAACCGACCAAAAAAACCTTAATCGATTAATAATCGATTAACCAAGGGCCCTAATCGATTAATAATCGATTAATATTAAAATATTAAAAATTTTTTTTTTTTGACCGCAGATTGCACCAAATTGTTTTTGATCATACATTTAGTTATAGGAAAGTCTTATTTATTATTATTATCATTAAAAAATTAATACAAATTCTTCCAAGTTCAGAGAACACGTGACCAAAAATTCACAGCTCTGGGCCGCATTAGATAATTTGACCAGAATTATGGGTTGATAATTTTAATTGATTAACCGATTTTTGAGATACCTTAATCGATTAACCGTCTTAGTCGATTAATTAATCGATTAACCTTAATCGATTCTGAACTCTAATATGAAATGTTATGAAATTAATTTTTTAAAAAAAATTTTTATTTTTTATCCAGATATTTATCTGGGTAAAACNGGGTTGATAATTTTAATTGATTAACCGATTTTTGAGATACCTTAATCGATTAACCGTCTTAGTCGATTAATTAATCGATTAACCTTAATCGATTCCAAACTCTAGATTAAGGAGCGAGAAGATTATAATCCAATGGAATTTAAATGGTTTAGATCGATGAAAGAAATATTTTGAAGAAAGTTTCGTTTGAATAAGTGAATATAGATTCAACTTAATTGCATATAACTTGTGTGAATCTATTTTGGAGATCAAAATTGACTTTTGGTGCTTTATAAGTTGGACGAAAAGTCGTACATATGCTTATTATTATAAAAATGAATTTAATAATTGCGATTTGACGGACAACATATTTTATTATAATATGTTACAAGAGTTTGATTGGAGATATATATCTAACAGAAATTAAGTTTTCAAATAAGCAAACTTCGTTACAAGATAATATTGAGCGATCGTTTAAAGTCAAGAATTTGTTAAAGGGTTTACCTACATATGATATAAAAGAAAGGCTAATTTTGTAGATAATAGCATAGCAATTTTTTAAGAATTTTTATTGTGGCATACGAAATAATTTTGGTGACGTAATATAAATATTAAGAACGGCTCAGCATGTATAAGGTGTAATTTGTATGAAGAAGACTGGTGTCATATATGGACATGTGAATGTAATTCTACATACACCCTTAATGAGTATCATCGTTTCAACTTTGAACATACTTGAAGAATTGATTATTTCAAAGAAATATGACATATTGCAGAACTTAAAACTAATTCACGTAGAATTTGTTCAAATCTTATATGAAGATACAAAAAATTTTTGGAGGGAGATATAATAACAAATTTAATCAAATAAGTAATAGTTCGGAAATGAGGTCGTTAGTTAAATATATTTGGACGCGTTGTTATAATAATTTTAAAATAGCATTTGAAAAGAACGTTGTAATGAAGTTATAAAAATAGAAAAAAGAAAAAATAGAAATATATATCTGATATGCTAAGGATAAAAAGAATTATAATGATAAAGATAAAAATATAGAAAATCACGAAAAAAAATCAAGATGATAATTATAAAAAGAAGAAACAAAAACAGTTAGTAAATTATTGACGCTTGGCCGTATGATTGATAATATAATGGAAGACAAATGTAATGACAAAATTTAGCATTTAACATACGGATCTAGTTTGATTAATTAATTTTAATTGATTAGTAATTTTAGATAGCTATGGATTATTTTAATATTTAATTTAGGTATAAGTCTTTTAATATCTAATTAGTTATATTAAGTTTTATCTCAGCTCCATGTATTTCTTTTATCTAGACTCATCTTAAGCTTTTTAAATGTAACCGATTATTTACAAGTTGGTTTTAACAAAAAAAATAATAATAAATTAATATTCAAAATTACTTTTACCACTCTAAATAGTCTAGTAAAGTCAATAAAGCTTGATTAATTGACATATACTGTACAGTCAGCCCCTCTACAGTCACACCCCTCGGGACCATCCAATGGTGTGATTATAATGAGGTGTGCCTATTGGTGAGGGTTAATTATATAATCACACATATAAGTAAACGTGATTTGTCAGAAATTTTGGCATTCGGCTGCGGCCAAGCAGCGCGTGATCACGTGCAGCATGGTCAAGGGAACTACGCGTAAATCATGTGATAATCACATATCACATGATTGTGATTAAAGAGTTACGTAATTTACATAAATAATAATTAATTAAACTTTTATTAAAGTTTCGCTTTTCTACTTTCAATATGGAAATTGTAAGTATTTGTAACTACTAGTAATTTACAAAAATGTAAAAAATGTCAAAAAAATTTACCTCTAGAAGCTTTCATTAACGAAAATACTCAGTAATTTAAAACTTGTAATATATGTCATCATAAAGCTACTTTGCAATATGAACAATCTAATCAATCTAACACAGAGGTAGAACTGTTAACTCTAGAAGGAATGTCTAATTTATTCGTTGGCGCAAACGCGTCACTTGATCGATCAAACTAAAGTTAAAAATATAATATATATTTACATTTTTTTTTAATTTATTCTTCCTAGATGCTGCGTTGACCCTTTGACACCAAAAAATTCTGCGTAAATCATGTGATCATCACATATCACATTCGGATATTCAAAAAAAATTAAAGTATTTTATTATGAAACTTTAAAGAAAAAACTTTATTACTTTTATTACTTTTAAAAAAGAAAAATATTTAATAAATTTTATTAATTTACTGTCTATCTACAAAGTAAATCAATTAATTAAAAACATCGTATGTTTGTTGTAGTGCGTGGATTTGTAATCTGCCTTTCATACTTATTAATATCAGTTACTAAACTTTTAATTCCCTTAAAACTTGCTTGAACTACTTGTGCCTATCTTTTATTACCAATATTTTCTTGTTCTTCTACAATTTTCAACGCTTAACATAGTATTAATTTGTAATCTTTAAAAAGTTGCATCTTTTGGTCATCATCATCATCATCACTCATTGAATTTACAATTGCGAATTGAGCAGTTCTATTATTATCCATTAAATTTGTTATATTACTTTATCTAAAAAAAAAATCAAAAAAAAAGTTTATTTTTGTTATTGACAATATGATAATATAAATATTATTTACCTCAAGGTGGATTTTGCATCGATTCTTCGCCTGGTAAAAATATAAATGGATATATCTCTTGACGTTGAACTTTGTAAATAAAAAGAAGGATTAATTGTAAATCGAGAAGCATTAATTAAATGCTTACAAAGAAAAAATCAATTTTTTAAAAAGCCCAAACAAGAACATATCCACTTTTCAGTAATTCATTATTAATTTAAATCCTTTCACCATGAAGGTTTTTTACAGCCACACAAATATTTATTATGTTGTTGTTGATGACGTGGAATCAAACAAGAAGAATATAAATTACTAAATCAAGATGTGATCGAAAAAATTTTTGAAACATTGGATTTCCAAAATTCTTTCATATTTCGTAAAAAAAAATTCGACGGGAAGTGGAAATGTGGAAATAAAGATCGTGGCGCGGATTAGTAATACACCTCCTCATTACGTAAAAATGTGATTGAACCTAATTGGTTTTAGATCATCTTATAATGTAAAAATAAGTGTTGGGAACTAATTGGTTCACCACGGACATATTAACGAATTTTTGTCTTATACAATTCTCTAAATATGAAATAAAATATCAATTTCAATTTATACTTCATGTTGTCCTTCTGAATTATCAATTTTAATCAACTTCGCATCAACTTCATCAACTTCAGTTTCTTTCTTGTCAGCTTCAATACATTTCACGTCAATTTCATCATCATCAATTAATTCCACATCAACATCAATTACATCAACTTCAGTTTCTTTCTTATCAGCTTTAATACATCTCACGTTAATTTCATCATCATCAATCAATTCCGCATCAACATCATCATTTAATAAAGGAACAGTTTCCTCCTCATCATTTTGTTGAGAATTATCTTCAGATTTGGTATCCACTCTAATTACACATGAAAGGAACATTATCAAACATAAAATATAACCAATTATATGACTCATACAGCGAATTACACTAAATCCATAACACATATCATTCCAACTTGTAAAGAATGTAAGAGTGCTTATAATAACTATAACAAGATAGATTAAAATTAAAAAAAAGAAAAGTATAGTAAATAAAAATTTATATATTTCTTTACCTGCAAAAAACCAAAAAATCAATAATATTCTAATATATAAAATAAATATTTATAAATTATTAATATTTTTGACAAAATTTTCGTTTAATTAAAATTAATAAAAATATTACGTACGAATCAAGATTATTATCATACATATTAAATACTAATCTCAAAGACCGTTTCACGAATTCTGGATTCTCTGCTCTAAATAAATTATATGCTATCATATTTGAAATGGATGAAAGAATTAGAAAGAATATTAAGAATATTTTATAATTATTATTATTATTATTATTTTACGTACAAGTCATATAAAACATAATAATTATTTACCTAATGAAAATAATGAGGTAATTACAATCATGATATAAAAATTATTCAACCGTTCATACGAGTGAATTCTCGATGTATCTTTTTTTTAAAAAAAATAATAAAATACAGTATGTATAAATAAATATATATATATATATAAATTTCCGTTAAAATAAGCGACTTCAATTTAATTATATATTACCAATTAAACAAATGAGAAATGTTATTACGATTTGAAAAATTCTCAAATATCGAAATTTTACTGGATTCATAATTTAAAGTTTTGTTTAGAAAATGTTATCGGAAATACGGAGAACGATAAAGAATTCGTGTGTAACATGGAATTTGGAATTTTCTTTATAGAAACAACCCCCTAATTTGTAAATCAAATATCAATATAAACATCACGGGACATTACTTAGTAATGTGGTATCACTGTAAATAGTTTTTGTTCAAGCGCTTAGAAAATGTTATGAAAGCATTATACGATTTTCTCTTATTTGGAATCATAATCATAGAAGAGCAGAAACGCAGCGTAATTATAAACCATTAATAGTAAAAATTCAATCTTCTCGTCAAATTTTTTTTTTTTTTTTTTATCGATTTTTTATATAATTAGTCGACAAATAATTAAATCATAGATTTGTAACAATGAAAGATTTACTTTTGTTAGATAAAACGTATCAAAGTTATTATATACCAAACTTGTCGATTTTCTTCCTCTAACTTTTGATAATTTGGAATCATAGAAGAGCGGAGACACAACACAATTACAAACTATAAATAGTACAAAAATTTAATTATATTAATAACCGATGAATAATTAAACTATCAAATTTTAACAATGAAAGATATGCTTTTGTTAGCATTCAATTGCATTATGTAATATGAATTATTATTTCCAATTTCATTGACAATCAAACAAAAGATTCGTTACGTAATTAAAGTGTTTTTTCTGTTACCAAAAAAAATGAACTTCGGGCACCGGAGTTTTGTTGATTTTTTTATTGACATATTAGGAAGTGGTTGAAACAAAAGCACTAAATTAATAAAAACAAAAACCGTAAATCATTATCAAAAAAGTATAGATACGGCCGAAATTAAATCGATTTAACCAAAAATGTATTCATTCAAAATGATGTTTTTATCAGCTGATCATAAGTTGATCAACTACGTAATCGGTTTAGACAAATAATTATAAATACAAACAAAAAATTGAAATTTAAAAAATTTCATCAAAAAAAAATTCGAACAAAAAAAAAAATCATGTCAAATCTCAATAAAGATATCCTTCATTCAATATTTGAAGAGTTGCAAGACGATGGTAATTCTCTTTATAATTTATTATCGGTCGACATAGTTTGGTCAGAAACTATCATTCCAATTTTGTGGAGAAATCCCTGGAAATACTTTAACGATAAGAAGAACGAAACAATTTCACGAGAGGAAAAAAGATTCTTATTAAATGATAAAAAGAAGAAGTCACTATTAGACGTAATTATTTCACATTTATCGAATGAAACAAGAGATACTTTCAAACTAACCACGACATATGAGAAACCTTTATTTGATTATATTGGATATTGTAAACACTTGAATTTAAGTGATTTAGAAGAAATAATTGATATCATGGAGTACGAAGAACTAGACGTTTATAATGAAATATTCAAACTTTTTATTAATGAAAAAACGAGAATCACACATCTTTATATACCTCGCCAATTCAATTATCAATTACATCTTATTCCTGGGGTTGAAAATTGCCTTTTAGGGCTTGAATATCTTCGATGCAGCACTTTAACAAAAGACGATGTTTTAGATGGATTGGCAGAAATATGCAAATCAATCAAGGAATTAAATTTTAATATTTATAATATTTATAATCAAGAAGGACGGGAAGATTATAATTATGATAATGTAACCGAAAATGGAATCGTTAAGTTAATTCAACGTCAAAAAAAATTAAATAAGGTTCATTTTTATTATGGAGAAAGTATGTATATGAGAACGACGAACAGTAATTCTTTATATAAAAGTATTGAAAATTCTTTGATTGGACATGCAAAAAATATTCAATATTTTAGCGCAAATAAGAAACCCTTCACAAATATTCTTTCATCTTTTAAAAATTTAAAAAGTCTAGAAATATGTGACGATTATTATTCATCGATTCATGACCAGCCAAATTTTCCAATTTTTTATTTTCCTTTTTCATTACCTTCTTTACCTCTACCTCCTTTACCTCCTTTACCTTCTTTACAAATTCTAAAAGTTGGAGACATTCCTATAAATGATTTAATAAGTTTATTTAAAAGTTCAAAAGGACTTTGTGAAATCAAAATTGAATATTCTACTATAGATATTGAACATAACAAAAGGATTATTCAAGCTATTTATGAAAATTGTCCAAATTTGAAATATCTCGGAATTCCTTTTAACAATATTTATATATTGGAATTAGAAAAATTATTAATTAAATGCCAATATCTGGAAGGTTTATATCTTAACATAGGAGAAGTAAATTATGAAGAGTTATTTGAAACATTGGCTAGATGTTCACCAAATAGTTTGTTTAGATTTAAATTCGAATTTAAATTTCAAACTAATCGGATTAAGAGAATAACATTAAAGTCATTTAAATTATTTTTTCATCATTGGCAAGGGAAACATCCTATGTTATTACAAACAATCGGAATGTCTCTTAATAAGTCAGAGGAACATTCGTATCTTATTGAAAATTATAAATTTTTAGGAGTAATTAAAAAGTACGATGATATTGAATTAGGAAAAAATAATTTTAAGGATTTTGAATGGATTAAACAAATGCCTTTTCATGAAACATCTTTCGATGGTAATATAGCGAATAGAGCAAGAGGCATTTATTTGATATGAATATATTTGCTATTTGAAATTAAAAAAGTTTATTGAGCAATTTAATTTAGATTTAATTAATTTAGTATAATATATGTATAGACTATTATAATAATAAATTTTATTCTTCAGTATGTTTTAAAAAATTTATTTTCTGTTTAATAAATTATAGTTATTGGATGAGGGTAAAATTATCGGTCACCCGTTACCCTCCCATTCAATAACTGTTATTATGCATTCATGTGAAATTTGTGAAATTCGAGTATAATTTTTACCAATGTATTTAAATGTATATATATTTAGATTGCAATACACTGTAATTCTGTTGAAATGCTTCGTATATGAATTTTGAAACAAAATTTTATGATGGTTTTTGAAAATATTGTACGCAGAGAACGAAAGTTTACGAGATATAATTTTATATTATCCGGTACCCGTGATTTTTTCCAGTTTTTTTACGATATCATGTATCAGGCAGACAATAAATCTTTATACTGTATTATTATGCGTTATTACATATTACAATATTACAAATATAAATCGAATAATTATGATTTTTGATTTTCTTTATTAGAAACTTCTTGTAATGACCATGTTTTTTACTAAATCTGAAGCCTTTATAAAATCAGATAGTATAATCCATCATACTGCGCTTCTTTATCAAATTTATTATTTTATTACTGATATATGCAAATATTAATCATTGAATTAAAATTTTCTATTGCATTTTTAAGTCAGCATCAGACATTTCTTCAGTACCGACGAACATTCTATGAAATATTTATTTTTTCTACGTTATATTAAATAAAGTTCACGAATAATTAAACACAAGAATCAACTATCATTAATGATATTTGTTTATATTTTAAAGAATACTATGTTGTAATGAATTGAGTAGTTTATTGAACAAATTGAATTTAAAATTGAAAATACCATATGTTTTTTCCTAATATTAATAATATTTTTGTAATGACTACCTAAAGAAGATATTTCATACTGATTTATCAGTATTAATTATATCATTTTCATCTTCGTTACCACCTTCGTTAACTTTTCATCTCGCCTTCGCTATCTGACTTTGGTGACACCCAGACGGAAGAAATATTTGTTAGCTAAAAAGTATTGTTATCTAAATAAATAAATTACTTTAAATTAAATAAAAGTCTTTTTTTACATGGCATTCTAGCTGAGATATTCTGAACAAATGTTTTTCCAGACTTGCTTTAGACATTATTTGTAAGGTTTTTATTTAGTGTATTGAAGATTTCTAACTAAACCATACTTTGGCGGTTTTTGAAATGGTAATCTTGCATTTTATTTGGATTATCATCGTCGCTTTCAGACTGTGTTATGAATTGTTCAGTCTTAACATCTACCAACTGGTAAAAATAATAAAATTATTATACAATAAAGTTTGTGAATCTACTTTTGCAAAAGTGAATAATATAGATCAAAATTTTAAGACTATTAGTAAATGAATATAATAAAAAGAATCAACTGAATCCTAATTATGTATGATAAGGGTATAGTTGTGTATTATTATAAAACTATTTAGAGATTTTGTCTTGATCATATTTAGATTATAAGTTCATGAGAGAAAAATGAATGTATTATTTGAAAAGAATTTATTAATAATCTACTAGTAGAAAGATGTTACATTCAATTATCACAATATTGAATATATTTTAACTCATTGTGATTACATAAATTATAATTATCTTTATTATATAACTCTCATTAAATTTTTAAAGTTATTATTAAACTAATCATTTCTATTATATTCAGTTTTTAATTATATATGTTTTACAAATTTACTAAAAAATCTTTGTATTTAGATCATATAACTAGACCTTATATTATAAAATATTTTTTTCAATAAATATATACAATATGTTTATTTCATTATATAATATTTTGTTATTCTATTATAGCAAATATTATCTAGTAGTAATAATTTAATATTTTAATTTATTTTAAATTAATGGAAGCCGACCAATATATTATTATACCAATAAATTTTTGATTCGGGTCTGTTCCTAAAATGTTGAAATCACTAAAACATCTTTAATTTGTGGAGTATTCAAATTATCAAGCTTTACCAAATGCCATTTTTTTTCTTTAGTATGCTCTGACTTTATATATTTAGTTTAGTTAATTTTCTTGACTTTCTAGTTATTAATTTTTCTTTTTCCTGTTTTCTTTTTATATATTAAATAGAAAGCAAAATATTTATTTATAAGGTTAAATATTTATAAAATTTTTAGATTTTTTCTGTAATTTTTCTTGGGTAGTTTTATATTATTTGAATCAACTAATTTCATGTGATATTTATAATTATAATTTGAATATTTATATATATATAAAGCATTAAATATTGTGTATACAGTATATCAGTGTTCGGAAATGACCTGGTCATTTGACCATTTTTCGGATTAGGAGTCATTTGGTCAAATGACACCCCATCATTTGGCATTTGGCATTTAAATTATTCGCGAAATGACAAATGCCAAATGATTGGGTATCATTTGACTGTCATTTGCGTCCTTTGTCATTTGGTCATTTGTCATTAAAATATTTAAAGATTATTGGACAATTTATAATCACGTGATGTA